GGGACTGGTTGGTCCATTATATGTGATACTGTTATCAACTATTTGATTAAGATCAAAAAGAAACTCCTCACGACTTCTGTAACTATCAGCCTCACATTTCTACAAGAGAGCAAGTATGCATTATAGTCCAATGAAATACATATCATGAATACTTTAAGTATAATTTTAAGAGCAAACCTTTCTCATAGTCTGCATGAAGGTCCATTGGTTTAGTTATGATCATTCTATAATCTGGTAACTTCTTAGAAGATACTGGAAAATGAAATGGCCAAGACTATAAAAAGGCAAGATAGACATAGCATAATAAGGTACAGTTATACTGTACATATGAATGAAGACAAGAAACTCATTTCACTCACATTAGGTACTGCTTTCATTCTTTCAATGGATTTACGACAGAGGAAGGACAGAACAGCTTGTGGATCATCTCCCAGCAGTGGATTAATCTCATGCTCTAGTTTCTCAAGAGCTTGACTGTTCTACAACAAAGAATCCACTCATTATAATCACACCATTACATTATAACACTGAAGTACTTACTTGATTTATTTCTTTGTTAGACATTTCCAACATCTTTTGGGCAGTTTTTGTTAGTTCAGAGTTGAATCCATTATAAGTGATGCAATTGTTAACAATTAGATTGACATGCTCCATGAACTGCTGCCTTGTCTCATACTTGCATGTGCTTACGAATATTCTGAAATAATAAAAATGAGTGTACATACATGTAGCAACTCAAAACTTAACATAGTCAACATAAAATAAAAACATTGATATCTATCAGAACTGCAATGAATTAACATTAGTATTATTTGTAATCTTCAAAATAGAAAAACAAGCGTAACAGTGTAAAAAATATTCCTATAATTGATTTCACCACCTTGCAAGAACAAATGGATTTTATTAAGACTTATAGAGGCTCTCTCTACCTTCTAATGCTTCTAGAGAAGTCTTTAGACAGTATCTCTATGTTTTCTTGCTGTTAGAAAGCTTAACTTTGTCCCAAGTTTAAGCATAGGTATAATATCTATGGTTTAAGCCGCCATTTGTTTTGCCGTGACCACACCCACTACGTAAAGGAGTGTGGGCGGGTGGTTGCTAAGGCTTGTTATTTCTCCAATACAACATGTATAGAAGAAATGTAAGTGTGGACATACAAATATATACAAACATCGCACGTGGGTGAAATCAATTATAGGAACGACCTGGGGGCTACGCCCCCAGGTCGTTAAAAATTCTGGCACAAACAATAAAAATTATTGAAAAACAGCATGTGCTATTGCCATGGCCAATACTTTTTCTAATGTACATTGATGAACTTACAACATTTTTAATGGTCATAAACTCAAAAATTATTGTTGGAATCAGCTCAAACTTATAAGGACATTAATGTGCATTAAAAAAATGTAATAAAAATTTGGGGTGATTTCGGAGCCATTTTTTGGAAAAAACCATGGGCTATAGCCTTGGGTATTTTCAGAATTTTGGCATTTTCTTAAAATGGCCGTAACTCAAAAAATTAATCCGGAATCAGCTCAAACTTTCTACACAGCATAAAGACATCAATATGTATCAGAAAATGTAATAAAAATTTGGGGTGATTTCAGAGCCATTAGCCTTGGGTATTTTTTAGAATTTTGACGTTTTCTTAAAATGGCCGTAACTTGAAAAATTAAAGTCGGAATCAGCTCAAACTTGCTACACAGCATAAGGACATCAATATGTATCAAAAAATGTAATAAAAATTTGGGGTGATTTCGGAGCCATTTTTGGAAAAAACAATGGCTGTAATTTGAAAAATTAAAGTTGGAATCAGCTCAAACTTGCTACACAGCATAAGGACATCAATATGTATCAGAAAATGTAATGAAAATTTGGGGTGATTTCGGAGCCATTTTTTGGAAAAAACCATGGGCTATAGCCTTGGGTAATTTTCAGAATTTTGACATTTTCTTAAAATGGCCGTAACTTGAAAAATAAAAGTTGGAATCAGCTCAAACTTGCTACACAGCATAAGGACATCAATATGCATCAGAAAATTTAATAAAAATTTGGGGTAATTTCGGAGCCATTTTTTGGAAAAATCCACCCTCGGTATTTTTCAAAATTCTGGCGTTTTCTTAAAATGACCATAACTTTAAAAATGGAAGTCGGAATCAGCTCAAGCTTGCTACACAGCATAAGTACATCAATATGTATCAGAAAATGCAATAAAAATTTGGGATGTAAACATTATGTGCTTCTTGAGATCAACCATGTCCAATTATTTTTAGGTGTGGCTATTATGAGTGTGGCTGATGTATACATTGTTTGATGCATAAATTATGGGTAGTTTCATTTTTAACATCAATCATTACCCTCTCTCTTTCTCTCTCCCTCCCTCTCTCTCTCTCTCTCTCTCTCTCTCTCTCTCTCTCTCTCCTTAACTTACATCTTTCATGGTCTGAAGATCCATTGGAAACTTTATCAAATTATAATAGTCAGGCACATCTTTTGAGGAAACTGGTTTACAAAAAGGCCAATACTAAAAAAGAGAACAAACACTACTCCTCCCTCCATTCTATTCTTTCTCTCTCACCTCTTGGACAGCACTCAGTTTATTAACAATCTTCTCTAAAGCAGCAGCAAATATGGCACCTAAGGAAAGCAATAAAAGTTAAGTATAGCAATACTGTACTAGTACCTCTGGGTTGGTCCGTCTTCTCTTTCCAGCTTTAGCTTTTTTCTATAAATAAACAATACATGTACATGTACATGTATGTTCAGGTGCTTTATACATGTAAGTTAGGCTTTACCTCTAAATAATCCAACTGTTCATCTCCTTGCTTCTTTCTTTTACGAACTAATTAAGATAAGAAAAAGAGAGAGGGGGTTTAGATTACAGTAATTCATATTAAGCTCATTACTCTTTTCTTTAGGGAATTTCAGTACTAATGATCTTCTCCTAACATCTTCAGCACTGCAATAATAATAAGTTATATCTCATTATCTCTCATTTTCCCTCTTACTGCTCAAGTAAATCTTTTTTAAGCACAACTTTAGTCCCTTCCACTTTAACAAGATCATCTTGAACCAGTGGTACCTCACTGGTAGCAGCTGCTAACTCGTCATCAGTAGGAGCAACCTAATATGTACATTAGTATACATGTACATGTATTATAATGCATGTACATGTACATTGTACCTGAACAGGTTGATTCTTGTATTTTGGACAGTTTTTATTAGTTTTCATGTGACCTTTCTGACCACAAGCACTACATGTTAACTGAAGAAAAGATAGATGAAAGACAAACGAAGATCAAGATACATGTAGTCATGTACACACAGTATTAAATAGATGTTAACAATATTATACTAACATGCATGGCAGTGAATTCTAATTTATTCTTTTTTGGTTTCTGAGGCTTTTGCTTAGCTCTCTCTTCAGCTCTATCTAACTGCCTAATAGCTGACTGTAATCTATTAAGAAATACATGTAGGAAGAAAAAGGAAATCAATAAAAAAATACCGTAATAACTAGTAATAAATGATGTACATGTAGCATAAATGTACATGTACATGTACGCCGTACCTCTTCACTTCTTTCCTCATATCTTCACGAGTTTTCTCATCTTTCTCAGCAAACTCCATCCTACAATGACACCAATCAGGTGACAGTCACATGATGGTATGTCACCTGATATCCTTATCCTTTGATCTACTCATTATCCTCACATAAGCATCAATGACTCCTTGATTCTTTACTACTTCGTGTCTCACGTATTCTCTCCCTCCCTCGTCTCTGAAGGTTCTTGATATCAAGAGTCTCCGCCCACTTGAGAAACTGAGGACTGAAGAAGCATCATCTACATCAAGAGAAGGAGTGGCTACAGAAAAATGTATGAGATATGAGATACATGATTAATAAATATAGTCATGCTAACCTCTTTCAGAATGGTCCCCTCCTCCTCCTCCACTGTCAGCAGCTCCTTTACTAGAAGAGGGCCCAACCTATTTCAATCATACATATCAATGTTTGTGTTCTTATGATGATATACATGTATGTGTGTACATGTACATATTATGAATCATTCACATATTAAATTTATATTCCAATTTGATACTGTTATTATTACTATCAAAAGTAGATGAGAAAGGGAGGGCCTAGCTGCAGACCAATAACACCATAGCAAAATACCACATTCAAACCAATCATAATCAAGATACAGTACATGTACATGTAACAGTAGGGCTCCGACTCTCTCACTACAAACTCTTAATTTCTTTCCTTCTTCTTTTCTTACATTTGATTCATCCAGTAATAATCTCCTCAGTTCTTGTCTCTCCATCTCCTCCTGCTCGTGTGTGAGGTCCAGTGCCGTTTTCTTTGATGAGAGGAGAGACTCGAGATTCCGTCCCAATTCATCGTCACTCTCTCCCTCACTCTCACTGCTCTCATCATCCGTTGACAACACCTCATTGGAGCACAGCACCCTATCAGTATAACTCAGGATAACTCAGTAAACCCAGTAGATGTATACTAACTTGTTTTGAATGTCAAACACTCTTTGGCATTCTTCCTTGTATCTCTCTTGAGCCTCAGACTGGGAGCATCTACTGCCTCGAGCAAACATCAAACTACTAACATCAACAGCTAGAGATAGCAAAGAAACAGTAAATGATAGGAAGAAAAAAAGAAACAAATGGGTGGTGGAGGATGATGACAAACTGTAAGTTTATTTACCTCCTCCAGATCTTGCTGCTTCAGTTGAAATACTTCTAACAAGATCAACCACTTTCCATCTTGATAACTTAGCAATCTGAGAAGAAAGAGTTAAATCATGTACATGTACATATACATGTACATGTACATGTATTTGAACAATAATAAAACTGTAAATTACTTCTTCCTCTGGTACTCCAAAGTTTCTCAGTACATTCCTTGCTTTACTTAGCTTGAGTTTCCTTAGATCAGCCTCAGTTCCCATTACAGTCTTTGGCCTCTTGCTAGGAGATACAGTGCTGGGATGACCTGCTTCCTATTATTACAACAAAGAATGATGTGGAACAGTCAATAGTTTGATGTACATGTATACCTTAGGATTGAGTCTAGTGTAAGAGAATCCTTCCCCACAGCCGGTGGGATCAGCAGGTCCACTCACTGATAGTTGATATTTTCCTTTCATTGCATTAATGAAATGATGAGTTGTGTTCCATGGAGCAGCTCGGACCTAATGAGAGAAGTACATTAAAAGTAATGTACATGTACATGTACTGTACACGTAACATACATGTACATGGATTGTTACCTCATCATCAATCTTTTGATTTGTTTCTTCTCCTTCCTCTTCTTCTTCTACAGCAAACAATGACTTACCACCATAACCAGCATCCTATGATAAATTCATCATATCAAAAATTGGCATACTTCTTAATTTTAATTATTTCTACAAGTAT